AACTTTGTTATGAAAGCTCTCACATTCAGGGATATAGTTGTATCAAAGGTAAAAACATATAAACAACTATTATATATATATATATATATGTATATATATATATATTCTCACATTCAGGGATATAGTTGTATCAAAGGTAAAAACATATAAACAACTATCCTCTGTTATATATATATATATATACTTGTGAATGTACTCCCATTTCTCTCCCAAAAGTATTCTGTTGTTGACCAACACTATTACAGGATTGCAAATATAAAAATATTTGACTCTATTGTCTTTAACTCTTATGAACCTTCCAATGTCTCCCATTTTCTCCATCATTTTTCTAACCTCCCTCTTATTGTGTATTACCTACCCTCTAGCCTATGACTTCTCCTCCTTCCTTTGCCCTCTGGCCCTCATAACCATCTGTGTTATACTGGGTTGACTAGAAAAACAAATTCAGGGACACGCATATGTGTATAAGAAGGAGGAACTTTATATCAAAGAGAAATTGTATATTGAAAAAACATCCCAGACCAGTTCAGATCAAGCCCATAAGTCAACAGGAGTCCTCAAATTCTTCTTTATATTCAGGCACCACTTGCAATGATGCCGAATGAAGGAAGATAACAGGCTGGTGGGTGAAAAATCTGTGGATCCAATGCCAGTGGAAGCATCTCCGCGCTGGCCTAGGTTTCCACGTGGCTCCCCCAGCTCTCTGAGTGTGGCTCCTTAACAGGAAGGCGAAGCAGAGAGAAAGTGTCACCCACCTCCAGGAAGAAAGAGAGGAAGTTTGTAAAATCCTCAGGAGGTCGCATAAAAACTGGTTGTTCAATTATGCAACCTAAATACTGACATCTGTTTGTTTTCTCTATTTTCAAATAGTCTTAAGCTTTGATAACTGATTTTTTTTTATAAATCAGGTTTGTCAGTGAGATCTCTGATGTGCCAAGGGGATGTTGTATATTTGATGTGTTTAATATAGTGAAACATCAGCTTCTTTATTTCAGCCAACTTATTTGTGAATTTTCTGTTTAAGAATTTTGGAGGTTAGTGTGTTTGTGTTTACTCTTCTAACATTGAGTCTAGCAGGCCCTATTTTTTGCATTAGGGCAATTGCTGTTTGATTTTTGTTTAATTGCAGTATTTGTGTTATTGCTATACTAAAGTTGGTTTTCTTTTTACAGTAAACACAGGGACAGTAATTGTTCTCTGTGCTGTACCACTGTAAAGGGTTTTTAGGAGACCTTAAAGTCTTGATATTGTGAAGCAGAGGGTATTTTGTCGAATGATTAAAAGAATTCTGTTGGTTTATGTGGGGAAGGTGGTCACATAATGATGATTTTTGCTCTTTGGTGTCTGCTAGCTGTTCCCTTCAACACCTCGTGTTCACACAGGCTTGTGTGCTTCTTCTCTGTGGGCTTTGTTGTTTCTGAGCTAGATAGCCACTTGTTTGCCTTCAAGCCTTTAAGACCCTAGACGCTATATCTTTCGATAGCTGGGCACCATCAGCTTTCTTCATGACATTTGCTTATGCACACGTCTGTCTTCAGCGATCATGTTGGGAAGGTAGGTATCGTGATATGACCATTTAGCTGAGCAAGGTGCTCTTGTATTAAGGGAATGTACATGAGGAGGCCCAATGTCCACCTGCCACCCTACTACTAAACCTATAATTATTTGCACCTAGGCACATTTCCCCAATAATCTTAAATATATTTACATATGCACATGTCTGTATTTAGGCTTCTATGTATGCTCTTTGCCTCCTACTCCTTTCCTCTATTTTCTTACGCTTTCCTCCTGTCCCATGACCATGTTCAGCCTTCATTCTGGCTTTGGTAATTCCTCTCAGATACCTTGTCCTTGGTCACTCCCTACCAGTCCTCCCATTCCCCCCAACATGTGCATAAGCAAATGTGGTGAAGAAGGCTGATGGTGCCTGGCTATCAAAAGATATAGCGTCTGGGGTCTTAAAGGCTTGAAAATAAACAAGTGGCCATCTTGCCCAGAAGCAACAAAGCCCACATGGAAGCAGCACACCAACATGTGTGATCATGAAGGGCTGAAGGGACTAGGCTTCAAGCACCAAAGGCGGGAGAGAAAAAAAAAATCTTATCATCGTGAATGAAGGTGGCGCATGGTGGGGACCCAATGCCCATCTGTAGACAACTGGACATAACTTGCAGAGGGGTAGTGGGGAGGAGATGAGTCACTTAGGGTTCAGTATAGTAATAATGAAACCCACAACCTTCCTCTAGTTCTTAAACGCTTCCTCCCCCCAACTACCATGACCCTAATTCTACCTTGCAAACCTGGTTAGACTAGAGGATCCCCAGCGGTACAGATGGGAACTGGAAACACAGGGAATCTAGGACAGATGAACCCCTCAGGACCAGGGGTGACAGTGGCGATACCAGGAGGGAAGGGGGGCTAGAAAGGGGGAATCGATCACAAGGATCTACATATAACCTCCTCTCTGGGGGATGGGCAACAGAAGGGTGGGTGAAGGGAGACACCAGGCAGTGTAAGATAAGATATAATAATAATTTATAAATCATTAAGGGTCCATGAGGGAGCGGGGAGTAGGGAGGGAGGAGGAGGGGAAAAGAGGAAAATGAGCTAATTCCAGGAACCCAAGAGAAAAGCAAATTTTGAGAATGATGAGGGCAACAAATGTATAGGTGTGCTTTACACAATTGATGTATGTATGGACTATGATGAATTGTATGAGCCCCGATAAAATGATTAAAAAAAAAAAAAAGAATTCAGTTGGTATCTGGTTTCATGTTGTGTATATATAAATAAGATTGAACAGCAAAATAAATGAAAGTTCTGTAGTGATGTTTGTATGGTAACTATGAAAAAGATACTTTTGTGATAGCATTTTAAAAAGATTTCTTTATATTTTACATAATAGCATATTTCATTTTGATTAAAAGCTACCAAAGGAATTTTGATCATGGTGTAACTGTTAAAAGCAATATTTTCTGGAATATGTCAAGTTTATATAATTTGATTTTGTGCAAAATTATTAAAAGACTCACTTAAAAAAAAAAAATCCTTATGAGAAGGCCACACCCACAAGGAGTCATCATCAGGTTGTGACCTGACTGACAGGCTAGACTCCATTCCTATATTTATTTATCAAGTTGACATGAAATTATGTAACTACCACACCATCAAAGAGTGTTTCTTTCAGTGTGGAAACCATCTTTTTTTGGCATTTTATAATAGCGGTCTCACATAATACTTGTCCTTTTGTGATTTTCTGATTTCACTCAGCAAGCTTAATATCCTCCAGGTTTATCCATGTTATGCAATATTTCACAGATTTATCCTAATTCTTTAACGTTGAGTAGTGTTCCATTGTGTGTATGAACCAAAATTTATTTATCTTTTCTTCTATTGATGTATCTGTCTTTTTGCTATTGTGAGTGTAGCATTAAAATTCCTAAGTCTAGTTCATTTGATTTAGATGAGCAGGATTTTGGTGTTTCTCAAATTACCTTTGGGTGAAGAGTAGCCCATGGCAATAATTTCAAAAGCTAAAACATGCTGCACTTTAAAAATGAAATAATAAAGGCACAAACTGTCCTTGTAGCCCTTTTTTCTCAAAAATGGATCATCACAAATTTTATATACTTTGGTCTCTAGCCAACTTTTTTTCCCTTTTAATAGCATTCCAGAAAATAAAATAATACCTTTTCATGCTGTGTCTTCAAGAACTGTGGTACACAGCATGCACAAGAAATATGACACTAATTATAGGCTATAGTTTTCAGATGCTGTATAATGGTTAATAATATAAAAATTAATAATACACAAACGTTTTGCAGGATAAAACTGTCTTCTAAATCTTCTAAATTGTTCATTTTTCAAAAGGATGTAAGGAAGAAAGAATGTTGACACAGGATGGTTGGAGATTTGGGGAAGCAATGAAGAACCAATGAGAACACAATAAAATATTGTGTTGGGAAACTGTCAAGAAAATAGAAACCATTATAAAATTCTAAGTTAATATTAAAACATAACTTTATTTGTAATGTCAGACCATTTACCATGATTCTCTCTGTCAGAGAACATGGAAATCAGATAAATGACTCTAGGAGAAAATTTAAATGACCCTTAGAAATCAAAAAAAGACTTTCGAGACTGTAGGTGCTTGAAAAAAGACGGACACTCACTAGTCCTCAGTGACTCTTTAGGCAAAGATACATTGGTAAGTACCCTAGCAGCACACCCGGGGCTCCAGAGGGTTTCTGTGATAACGATCTAGAATGAGCATATCATCTCCTTTTCTATCCAGCTGTTAATGTGATATCCATGGAAGAAAGAAGAACTTTTAGACTGAAAAAAAGATTGTATCTTCATATCCACTTCCATATAGAAATCTAAGTATTTTATGCTCCATAATTTGCTGTGCTGTTCTACCACACAAGATAAAGCTTTGCATAAAGAAGTAGTGTTGGACCTGATACAGTGGGGTCTAATTTGAACGACCAGAACTCTCCTCTGAGATAATTTGCATATAATATCTGGGCTATAAGCACATGATTTTGAATTATAGTATAAATTTTCTGGACATACATGTATACACATTTGCAAATATGTTTGTGAAGATATATTTATACATGTTTATTTAACCTTTGTATATGTGTTTACATATGCACGTATATTATATATTCAAGGATGTTATATGTGACTATCAAGGAAAACAAGGTGAGTGGTTGCTCTCAGATTGCTGTAATATTGAGGAAGTTCACAGAGATTCAAGGACTGATGAATGATCTCTCTGAAGCCAAGCAGTGGTTGTTTGTATATTTGTTTTATTTTTATGTAGTTCATCTTAGCATTTAAAAGGAGAGAAATAAAATGTAGGAAATATTATATGCTGATTATCTCTGCTTTTCTTATTCTTTGCTTTGTAATCAAACATACCTATGGTATTAAGAAATAGTATAATATTATCTCATAGCAAACTTTTGATGCACAAAAATCCATTTTTTTTCCAGTTCAAAAGGATATAGTCCACCTTCTTCCCAGCTTAGATGTTGAAGTCAAAGACATTACTGATCGCTATGAGGCGAACTGGTTTCTTCAGCTCTTATCTACAGAAGACCTTTTTGAAATGACCAGTAAAGAGTTCCCTGTAGTGGCTGAAGTCATAGAAGGGCCAGAAGGAAAGAAGCTGCCTGGAAACATTTTACAGTCCGGGAAAACCATTGTGATCCACAAAAAGTACCAGGCATCAAGGATCTTAGCTTCAGAAATTAGAAGCAATTTTCCTAAACGACACTTCTTGATCCCCATGAGCTACAAAGGCAAATTCAAGCGGCGACCTCGGGAGTTCCCAACTGCCTATGACCTTGAGATAGCTAAGAGTGAAAAGGAGCCTCTCCACGTGGTAGCCACCAAAGCCTTTCATTCCCCTTATGACGAGTTGTCATCCATATCAGTTGGAGACCAGTTTGTAGTGCATCACTCGCAGTCTACTGAAGTCCTCTGCAAGAAGGGAAAAAAAGCGCTGAAAGTTCTGGCCTGTGAAAAAATCCTCAGAAAGTCTTATGAGGCAACACTGCTGCCTTTGTACACGGAAGGAGGTTTTGTGGAGGTGATTCATGATAAGAAACAGTACCAAATTTCTGAGCTCTGCACACAGTTCCGCTTGCCCTTCAATGTGAAAGTGTCTGTGAGGGACCTTTCTATTGAAGAGGACACTTTGGCAGCCACACCAGGACTGCAGTTGGAGGAAGATATTACAGACTCTTATCTACTTGTTAGTGACTTTTCCAACCCCAGCGAGTGCTGGGAAATTCCTATCAGCCGCTTGAATATGACTGTTCATTTAGTTAGTAATTTGCTTAGAGAAACAGAATCATTTTCAGTCAGGACTCTGGTTGAAGAGATCTCTGAAGAACAATATTATATGATGCGGAGATATGAAAGCTCTTTCTTGCTTCCCCCACCCCTCCCTCCCAAACATCCCTTACTGGTGGAAGCTAAGTCAACTCTGCTAACCCAACCAGAACAAAGGAGAGCAGATCTGCCTAAATCTCCCAAGGTAAGACTAAAGTATTGTGATTTCCTTTAGAGTGACTTTCTTGAGCCAGTTTATGCCTTTTCTAAGTTTGTTTTGTGATTACTTTTCTTTCTTTCACACCATGTTTGAAATGAGCCTTTCTGGTGCACAGTCAATGAGTGAGCATCAACAGAGCACAAGCTATTGCAGTATTTTGTATTTTGATGCTTAACCAGTAGATGTGGCTGGAAATTTTTAATGAATTAGAAATAGCAGCGATGGCATTTAGATATGATGACCCAAACTGGCATTTTAATGGGTTTTGGTGATTAAGGTGCCTTAGAAGCATATCTATTTTATTTTGGATGTTCTGTTCATTTTTCCCCTAGGTAGAATTGTTTGAATACTTCATCCAGGAAATGAGCATGCATTAAGCTCCCTTATTCTGGGTGCATACCAGTAGCATGCATCTATAACACATGTCTTCATTCTGCTTTATGCGCAGAAAAATGTAAAAATATCTTGGCAGAATTGTTTGTGAGAATGTGAGCAGCTGCCCACATTCTGCCTATCTTAGAATTGTTATCTTCCAAAGTTCTATAGAAAAGTGAAATCGATAAAATGAAAGACAGTATGTGGTGCTCACAACATCAACAACTCCATTCCCACTCTGAAGAGTTGAGGGCATTCAGCTTCATTTCTACTGGAGGCCTTTGTCCCTTGAAAATTGCCTGCTAGCATCCTGGAAAGACCGTATCCTTACACCACGGCACGGAGGTCGTTTGTTCATTGGTGAATCTATGGTGTGTGGAAGGAAGGAGTACATTCTGGCCTGGCAGATGTTGTGCAGGCAGCGTGGGGAATCAAAGTAATTAGTAAAACAAAGAGAGATGCTGTGTTTACTCTATCTACTCCGGAATGATAGCAGCCTCAGGCTTCAAGTATGTGGATACAGAAGTACTTTTAATTCTACATTTCTAAGATTGCATTCTGAATGTATGCTGGGGAAATTCTGATAGAATCACAAAACTCATCTTTAGAAAACACAAAAACCTACAAGCAAGAATTTCCTTTTTCAAGACAATTCATTGTGAAGAATTATTTCTAATCAAATAAAATTTTCCTAATAATATTGATAAATAAGCATTTAGAAATGTGGAGGGTGTCGTTGGCTTCAACTGCTTAGAATATTTTTTTAAATTATTTTATTGGGGGCTCATACAATTCTCATCACAATCCATACATACATCCATTGTGTCAAGTACATATGTACATTCGCTGCCCTCATCATTTCTCAAAACATTTGCCCTCTACCTCAGGCCTTAATATCAGTTGCTCATTTTCCCCCTCCTTCCCCACCGCCCCACCCTCATGAACCCTTCATAATTCACAACTTCTTATAGTTTTGTCATAAGTTACACTGTCTGACATCTCCCCCCACCCTCTTCTCTGCTGTCCCTCCCCCAGAGAGGAGGCAATACCTAGATTCTTGTAATTGGTTCCCCCTTCTACCCCGCATTCCCTTCACGCTCCAGGCCTTGCCCCTTTCACCGCTAGTCCTGAAGGAGTCATCTGTCCTGGATTCCCTTTGTTTCCAATTGTTATCTGTACCAATGTACATCCTCTGGTCTAGCCAGAGTTGTAAGGTAGAATTGGGATCATGATAGTGGGGGGGAGGAAGCATTCAAGAACTAGAGGAAAGTTACATGTTTCATCATTACTACCCTGCACCCTGATTGGCTCATCTCCTCCCCTCAACGAGGGGATGTCCAGTTGCCTACCGATGGGCTTTGAGTCTCCACTCTGCACTCACCCACCTTTACAATGATATTTTTTGTTCTTTGATGCTTAATACCTGATCCCTTCAACAGCGCGTGGTCACACATGCTGTTGTGCTTCTTCCATGTGGGCTTTGTTGCTTCTGAGCTAGTTGGCCGCTTGTTTATCTTCAAGCCTTTAAAACCCCAGATGCTATATCTTTTGATAACCTGGCACCATCACTTTGCTAGATGATATAAGAGATGCAATTGTCATTTTTTAGTGAGGATTACCACATGTTGCCTCCTGACAATGCCATGCCAAATACCTGGGACCTGCGAGTATGTCACCTTATATGGTATTGAAACCTTTACTGATATAATGAAGATTATGAGCCTGAAGATGGGAAGATTGTCTTAAATTATATAGGCTAAAAACAAATGAAACCATTGCTGATCAATAGATTCTGAGTGACGGTTACTTGTGTTTCCAATAGATGTGCCTCACTAGGGTTTTGAATGAATATAATCTTACAGAAAAGAGGCCTGGTGGCCCAGTGGGTTAAGCACTGGGTTTTCTTCACAGAAGAATGATGAGGGAGTAAGCTTCTGTAAGTAGTTCTGCGTAACTACCAACCTTTGGTTACTGGTGTCCCTGCCAGCTGCCATTAAGTTGGCTCAGGCTCATAGTCACCCTAAGTACACAGAACGAACCAATGTCTAGTCTAGCCGCGGCCAATTGCTGCAGCCATTTTGTCAGTCCATCTCCTTGAAGTCTTCCACTTTTTCGTTGACCTATTTTACCGAGAATGATGTCTTCCTCTAGAACAGTGTTTCTCAACCTTAATGCTGTTACCCTTCAATACAGTTCCTCATGTTGTGGTGACCCCCCCAACCATAATATTATTTTCATTGCTACTTCATCACTGCAAATTTGCTACTGTTATGAATTGGGTGGCCCCTCTTAAAGGGTAGTTTGACCCCCCAGAGGGCTCACGACCCACAAGTTGAGAACTGCCGCTCCAGAAAATGCTTCTATAATGGAGTACTATGCATCCCTAAAAAGCAGTGATGAACACATGAAGCACATCGCCGCATGGGAAGAATTGGAGGAAATTATGCTAAGTGAAGTAAGAGGCTGGTGTTCAGTGTGGTGAGCTCATGGCAGGCACAATTTCTGCCATTTGTCTCCAGTGCTTTCCCCAGTGGTGTGATGGGTCAACGAGGAATGCTGTGTCCCATGGTGGGGCCAGCCCCGCGGTCATCTCCATACATCACTGTTCCAAACAGGCACATTGTCCCAAGGGCTTGGCGAGCCAGAATGTTCTCCACTCTTTCCTTTTCTTCCCCTTCCCCCCTCATCAGCTCACTTGTGCTCCAACCAGACCAGTACCCCTTCCCCACTTCCCCAGCTGCAGCTTCAGTTGTCCTCTGAAGTTTATTCCCCCTGGGGGACGGTGGTACTGTGCACGCAGTTGGTAATCGGACCGGCCCCTCATGCCTTTCCATCGGTTCCCTACTTCATGTCAGTGTATTGCTTTCCTGTCTTGGAGCTCCGAGTTGAAGTCTGGTCCCTCTTTCCCTATGGAGACACAATCAACAACCTCCCCCTGTGTGGGTTAGTGCCCTGTTCCCTCAGCTACCCATACCTTTTCCCCTCCTCCGTTTTAATGGGCTACCATATGTATCCCATTTGCATCCCTGGGGTTAGTCTGGCCCCTGCCATATTACCTGGACCTCACTCCAGGGACATATGTATACAGCATCTTCTTCCCTATGCCCTTTTTGGAAAAAAAAAAATTTTTTTTTGGCTTACCTCAGCGGACTCTTGTAGTACCTGTCCTTTTGTGTTTGGCTTACTTCACTTAGCATAATTTCCTCCAATTCTTCCCATGCGGCGATGTGCTTCATGTGTTCATCACTGCTTTTTAGGGATGCATAGTACTCCATTATAGGTATGCACCAGAGTTTTTAAATCTATTCATCTGTTGATGGAAATTTGGGCTGTTTCTAATTCCTGCCAATTGTGAACCGTGCTGCGATGAACATTGGGGCGCAGATGCCTGGCCGTGGCTTATTTTTTTTTGTCTCTCCTGGGTATATGCTCAATAGGGGGATTGCTGGATCATAGGGTAGCTCAATTTCCATCTATTTTAGATATCCCCAAATTGATTTCCATGATGGCTATATATACCTACAGGTCCACCAGCAGTGGACAAGAGTTCCTATCTCTCTGAATCCCCTCCAATTGATGTCGTCTTTTCTCTGTTGGCTACCAAGTTAGCTGTTGGTTTTTCATATATAGCTTGTATTTTATTGAGGAATTGTCATTCCATTACCATCTTCTTGAGTGTCTTAAACATGAATTGGTGCTGGATGTTGTCGAACATTTTTTTCTGCATCTATTGATATTATCATGTGGTTCTTATATTTCTTTGTTTCAATGTGATGAATAATACTTATGGTCTTTCGTATGTTGAACCATCATTGCATCCCTGGTGTGAATCCCACGTGGTCATGGTGAATTATTTGTATTATATATATTTGTATTCTCTTGGCTAGTATTTTGTTAAGGATTTTTGCATCGCTATTCATTAGGGAGATTGGTCTGTAGTTCTCAATTCTTGTGGGATCCTTGCCTGGTTTAGGTATCAGAGTTATACTAGCTTCATAGAAGGAATTTGGGAGTTTACCATATTTTTCTATGTTCTGGAAGAGTTTGTGTAGGATTGGTGTCACTTCTTCCCTGAATGCTTGATAAAATTCACCCGTGAGTCCATCTGGTCCTGGAGCCTTTTAGCTTTTAATTTTTTGATAGCCTTATCTATTTCTTCTACTGAAAAGGGTCTGTTAAGGTTTTTGATGGCCATTGGGGATAATGGGGATAATCTGGGGAGGGGTTGTTTTTCCAAGAATTCATCCATGTCTTCCAAGTTTTTGAATTCATTGGAGTACAGTCCTTCATAGAACTGTGTAATTCATGAGAGGTTTGTCGATTCAATTTATCCGTTCAAAGAACCAACTTTTAGCAGCATTGATTCCCCCCCCCCATATTTTTCTTATTTTCTCTCTCCTGAATCTCAGACCTAATTCTTATTATTTCTTTTCTTTTTCTATTAGTTGGATTTTCTTGCTGACTCCGTTCTAGTTGCTGTAAATTTTGTGTCAGTATCAATCATATGCCTCTCCTCCTTTTTTATGTGTGCATGTAATGCTATGAGAATACCTCTGATGACTGCTTTTGCTGTGTCCCATAAGTCTTGGTATGTCGTGTTTTCATTCTCA